TTAGCGTGTTTCTGAGGCCTTGCTTGGCAGGTGCCACAATCCTGAAGTTGTTTGATGTTCCAGTCTTACGATGTTTAATAGTATTGCTGTACCCAGGTGTGGCATCTTAATTAATGCTTATCTGTAGTCACTGGAGTGCAGTGTTTTTTTTGCTGAGCAACATAAGGAGCCAAAGGAGAAGAGGAGGGGTCTGCAGGTTGGGATGGCTTGAACGGCTATTTTATAACCAAGTAATCTGTAAAAAACACTCCTGAAGAAGAGCATGGGCAGATGTAAGTGATGCGTTTCTAACTTACTAGCATTTTCCATACCACCAATTGTAAAGATCTGTCAAGCTCTTCTGTAGGAGATGGGTTAAAAACAAATTCTCGGTGTAGATTTAATGAAGACGGTAAACATCCGAATTGCAGCTTGTTAACCCTCTTGTTCCTGGTTGCCAGACCTTGTGTTTCTTCAGATTGGGTGGATCTCATGTGGTTGTAAATATCTAAGGTAGAGGTAGATAAACAAGTAAACTTGTAAAAAAAAAAAAGTATAAAATGTGAATACATCAGTAAAAATGCCTGTGTATATCTAACTGTCTTTCTGCTCATTCAAGTTGCAGGAGTCATCACGGCTGACTTTCTATCAGGATTATTTCACTGGGGAGCAGATACCTGGGGATCTGTGGAGCTACCCATAGTTGGAAAGGTTTGAGACTCTTATCCTTGAGCTTCAAAAAGTTATGAAATACTTTTCTGAAGCACTCCCAGTGTTCCCGACTGCATTGGACAGCATATGCAAGCTCTGTTGTTCTTGCTTCTTATCACTGTAACGAGCTCCCCTGCGCCCAGAACACTCCTCCGCCGTGTATTGCTGGTGAAGTGCCCTGTTTGTGCTTGCCCTGAGTGCTATGTGTAAGGTGACACTGTTCCATTTTTCCAGCCACTTGAAGGTTTGCACACAGTTTTGCAATACCAGCGTTTGCAGAGCTTCCCAAGGTGCTGTGGGAGTGACTCGTGACACCACAAGAGTAGGAACCTGGTCAGGCTGGTGTAGAGCATCTACAAGGCCGATAAACAGAGAGATGTGGAGAATTGTTCCTGTAGCTGAACTTTATCAAAGCCGTCTTCTAAAATGTGAAGACACTCCAGTAAGAAATCTCCCCAGTTCTCTGTGCTACTGGCCCCTGTTGTAAAGGTGGTTGTATTGGTGTGGTGATGACTGATTCAGATTTGAGCTGTATTACACATCTCACATTATACATCTGCAGATACAAATGCCAGGTGCTTAGTGGAAGGTGCACTAACTTCTCCAATAAAAACTAATCTGGTTTATAATCTGTTTTTTAAAATCAACTGCTTCATAGCTACCATTAACTACTCCTCACAGTGCAATATTAGAAGGATCTGTATTTTAAAAAAAAACCACACCACAAAACATATGGGATATTCCTTGTAATTAAATACATGAACTAGAATGGCAGAATTAAGACTTTGGATTTTAGGCTTAGTTTTGTTCTCCTTCAGTGGACTTAGTAGTCCTTGAATCCTTGTGTCTCTAGACCATAGGTTTTTTTGGTTTGTTCGATGTGGGGTTTTTTAAAAAAGCTACTCCAGTGTTCTTATCAAACTGCACATGATATATGTATTAAAAGCAAATAAGTTCACTTGTTTTACTGCCCCAGTGTTACATTTGTTTTGTCTCCTCAGGCATTGTGTATTCAGATGTGATTTCTAATAGAGAAGACTTTTGTGTTGTCTGTTTGACTTTGACTGGTTTGTCTAGTCATTTAACTTACATTTAGTCTCTTAATGTTGTCATCTCCAGCCCATACAAAATGTTAGAGTGAATTTTCAAATTTTTTAGTGTTCTCTTGGTTTATGCTGCTTAGCAAATAACTTTATATTTGCGAATTTTTGCCTCTGAAATTAGAATGCTGATGCTTTGTTTCTGAGACCTGGACTCTAAAGATCCAAAGTGAAAATGAAGAATAAAACTAAAAAACAATGGAAAAGCTGGATTTTAGTCTGGGAACTGAATTGCTTTGCAAATGTAAATCAAATTTTCTGAATTGTTGTCATCACAAAAGTTTGAATCTTGCTTACATTCTCTGTGCTCTGGAACTCACACTCAGTCATCAGATTTGAATGCATGTGGGGTTTGGGGGGTTTTATATTTTTCTTTCTAAGATTATTGTAGAGCCATGATGTTGTGTTTATCTGTTTGCTTTTTCAGGCTTTCATCAGACCCTTTAGAGAACATCACATTGACCCCACAGCAATCACCAGACATGATTTTATAGAAACCAATGGAGACAACTGCTTTATGACACTAGTCCCGTTGGCAAACATGGCATACAAATTTGTTTCCTTTTCCCCAGGTAAACTGTTACTTCTGACTCATGTGGATTTAGGTTTTTTTTGTTGATATTTAAGCAAACATTTGTCTGTGTGAAGCTATTTAAAAATCAGTAGCTGTTGGAAGCAGGATCCTCCTGGGAAGAGGAGGAGAAGGGAAGGAGGGACAGCTAGGTTACCTAGCTCGGTAGAGGATTGGTGATGGAGGAGTCTTGCAAGAAAGCATTAGAAATTACAGTAAATACTCTTTTTGTAAGAGGGATCAAACTGTGCATACAAGGAAAATCATTGTTCTAAAGTGTATAAAAGTGCTTCACCTCTGTGTAAAAGTACTTTATTTGCAAACTAGAAGTGTAAGAATTTAATTTAATTTTATCGATGGTAAAGTTTAACTTCCTGTTTATGGTGAGTTGGGAGACATCAGCCCTTACCAGCCTGTCTTGTGACATTCTGGAATTGCTTATGGCTCACTGGCTCTTGTGACACTTCTGCCAAAGCAGTTTTGTTGAGGCCTTTGTTGGTTCCTGCAGTCCAAAGCAGCTCTGTCAGGGCAAGACATCATTTTCCCAGTAGAAATTTACCTTTTCATAAATGATATTTAAAGATACACACATCTTGTTTTGCAGAGGCATTATATGAAACATGTCCTTGGGAGTGTTATGTCTTTGCCCTTATCATCTTCATAACCATGACGAACCAGATTCACAAGTGGTCTCACACGTACTTTGGTCTTCCACGCTGGGTCATATTTCTACAGGACTGGCACATTATCTTGCCACGGAAGCATCACAGGATCCACCATGTGTCCCCACACGAGACGTACTTCTGCATTACAACTGGTACTGCTACCTCATCCCTACTGCAAGCTCTCTGTACTAGTCTAGTGCAATTCACCTGGCAAGATGTAGTTTAGTGACAGCCTCCTAAATACCTAGAAAATTATATGGTGAAGTTAACTGTGCTCTTACCCGCACAAGCTCTTGGCACACATGGCATCTATAGTTGTTTTTGTTGCATAAAAAATTTGAGGGGAAGATCTGTGATTGGCTGAGAGGTAACTTTTCAGCCCGATGGTGTGGTCTGTGGTACTGAGATCCAGCTGCAGGATATCTTGATAATCTCATGCTAGTGATGGGGTTTGTTCATTAGTCTTAAAGCTCCTGTTCCTTCAGAAGTGCATATCATCTGCAAGTGCAGCTTACCTTGAGTGCTCATTTCTATAGCAAGGCTTCTGGATACTCACCATTCATTCATTCTGATTTGGGGCAGGGGACTGGACAGACTTGCAGAAAACTGGCTTTAAGTTCTTCTTATATCCATATTTAATTTTGTGTCCACTGTACAGGCAGTTGTTCTCAGTCACCAGTGCTGCACAATCCTGAACAAGTAATCAGATTAATCAGACAGCTGGAAATAAACCACGCTGGTTCTTTGTTCCACCTTTGGCTTTGACAAACAGTTTATGTTGGTTTTGAAATCTCTGCCAAGAAAGAAATCTGGCTTTCAGAATGTCATGTAAAAACATGGTACAATTAAGAAGCCTGACTTGACAGATGATGACAAAAATATTGCCACCCTGAGAGCTTTTTTCTGTCCTACTATGTCCTGAAAGTTTAAGCTTGTCCATTATCAGGAGTCTTGAGCTAGATGCTTTGTTTTCTCAAAAGAAAAGAAGAAAAAGCATGGATGTGGTTCTGTTCACTCCATGCTTTCTGTAAGCGTTCATACCAAACTAGTCTAACATAACACAGCATGATGGATTGTATACTTTTGCTTTTCCAGCAGAGCAAAATGTTTCTGCAGCCCTAATTCTCTTCGTTCTAGGGTAGAAGTGACAAGGACAGAAATACGCAGTCAATGCACTGTTTAAAAGCGGCCTTTACTGAGTAAAGTAGGACTGGTTGGAGCGCACTTGTTAGTGACTTGGCTTAGGAGCAGGTAGCCAAGTGCACTTGGTTTCGGAGCTGAGCTGCACTAAAGGTCCAGCACGTATCTCCGCCAGCGCCGGTGTCAGGTAACAGCTTTCTGGCATTGCCGGTGCCAAGGCTTTTGGACCAACTGCCGTTTTTAGACACCAGGAAGGATTCCTTCATTCCTTGAGGGGTGCTGGCTGCGTTTGTGTGAATTTCAGGGGCTGATTTCATGCAGGGTGTCGGTGGGCAGTGAGTCGAGTGGAGCTGCGGGTGGGCTAGGAAAGGCCACGTCCGACTGCAGAAGACTGCTGAAAACGGTGTCTGTTTTCACAGGTCCTTAAAACTGTAGTTGTGTCTGATGAGCAACAATCTAGCTCTCTAGAAATACAGTATTTTTCAGCAGGGAATGTCCTGAATGCTCTCTCCCTGTAGCGTTTCTGTCCCATAACAGCTATACGCATAGTCTGAGGCATCACCAGCGAGAGCGGTGCTTTCCTGCTGCTGGCCCTGCCAGCACCGCACCTTTTCCGTGCTCCAGTTTCACTGGTGCTGTCCTGTGTTGTAGCTCTCTCCTCTAATGTGAACCACTGCTGCTAGCTCACGGTTTCCACTGTGGTAACTACTTCTTTGTTCCTGCCTCTCCTTGATTTTGTTTTCTTGTGCTTTTTTTTTCCCTTTTGCAGAAATGTACATGGAGTGAAGTGTAACGTGTGTGCTTACAGCACAGTCTGAAAGTGTGGGATAGCTAGTGTCACCCTGTGGACATTCATCTCTTCCTGGCTGTTGGAAAAAATTATACAGGGAAATAAATTTCCCAGCACTGATTTCTTCTGGTTTTCCTAGTTTTACAGTCTCTTACAGCCTTTCTGGTTGCTCAGAAGCCAAAGCGCTCTGTTGGCCGAGCTGCATGGCGTTGCCCTTTTTATCCAGGAAGAGTCCAACGTCAGCTGCCATTAAATGCAGCACATCCCCAACACAGACTTCATTAGAAATTAGTTATGCAAACTTTAATTGTGCCCAAGGCAAATACATAACACGTTTAAATACCTTAAAAACGAAAACTGGTGTTTGAACAATCTAAACTTGAGGATTTAAGAAAAAAACGTAGTTTGCTGAGCCGTAGTTAGTTGTGTTTAGGTTCCAAATAGAAATCTTGATTTTCTTTCTTTTTTTTTTTTAATTAATTCTTTTATTATATATAGAAACTGTGGCATGTATTTGAGCTTTCAGAGCCATCATGTGTGTATTGGCTTTATTGCTCTACTACCTAATGAGAAACACAGGGAAAAGCCAAGTTGGCTCTGTTGATGAGGAAACTAATTGGGAGGGGAAAAAAGCTGAAATTGTTGGCTTGGGAATTTTGTTTGGTTGCTTAAATTGCAATCGTAAATATAAGGTACTGCTCATACAAACGTTTTGCTTTTAACAAATCATTCAACTTCGTGGTTGCTTTTCTGATAGCTATGCAATTGCCATAGACTAGTCCACCTCTGAACTCCCCTTATGTATACCTTCTGTTTAATTTAAAGAATATTATTAAATAAACATTGCAAGAGATTGAACTTTAGATGCTATGACAAACTAATTTTTTTTTCTTTACAATCACTTAGGTTGGCTGAACTATCCATTAGAGAAGATAAGGTTCTGGAGGTGTTTGGAGAACATTATCCAAGGAATTACTGGGGAGAAGCCAAGAGCAGATGACATGAAATGGGCGCAGAAAATTAAATAACTTTTGCCAGCCTTCTGCAATCCTTAACTTGTTGCCAATGTTTTTTTTTTTAAAAAAAAGCCATCAGCCAAATTCAAGACCTGCAAAGAAATAACAGACTCTAAAGCACAAACTAAAAAGTGCTAACACAGACTGTATTGAAAAGAACTAATTCTTAAAACAATACTTGAAATGAAGATGATTACTGTTGCTGAGCACCTTTTTGTTTAGCCATGTCTGCTTACTTCTTAGGAAATAATTCATCACTGTATGTCATAAGGCTATCGGGCAAGCCAGAAGGCAGGACAGTCACTCCATTGGTACATGGTGGCATAGTAATCATGTGTTGTATCAACATTATTTAACACTTCGGAAATAGCTTGTTGCCTAAGACCTATACGGAGAATGGTGACCACAGTTTGTCACTTCGTGTTTGAGTCCAAATACACTGCATGAAAACAGTGTGTCAGAGTAATGGAGGCCTATAAAAATCATCACTTTTCAATGCACTTAGTGATTGATAAACCTACAGCTCTGTCTTCGCTATCATGTTAAATCTAATTGATGTAATGTGGAACAGACTTTGAGAATCCCACTCTACCAGTGGGCCACGAATCCTCAAGTGTCTTCAGTTTCCCTTAAAATAAAATTGTTCTGCTCTCTACATGGAATTGAGCAAACCATTTCTGCATAAGCCTTCAACTTGACAAGCCTGAGGAGAGGGAGGGCACCCAGTACAACACATGCTCACATTTGTTCATGTGGAGTGCTCACTGATGAGTCTTCTGTTAAGTGTTTCTTACCCTGACAGTAAATGTTTTAATAGTTTTAGCACTGGGCACATTGCAAATAGCTGTATTCAAGAGCTCGAGGTATCAACCTTGTTATGTTAGAAGGGAAATGTCAATGACTGGTGGGGTTTTTGTTTTTGTTTTTTTTTTTAAGGTGCTTGCTTGTTTCTGTAAATAATATAAAGCCTTAATATCTTCTGGTGTAATGGAATAATATTTTAATGTGATGTTTGAATGTATATAATATATTTATAACAAAGCAGTTGGATAATACTAATCATGTTTGTTAAGTCTTGTTGCTGTTCTTCATTCATGCATTGTCAGCACTTAGTCCAAGAACTTGGTCACTGGTTGCAAAATGCTTCATGCTCTTCCAGCCATCTGAAACACCTTGCAACCTGTTCAGTCTTGTTCAGGTTGAAGTGATCGATTTGTTGGAGTTGTAGGAGCTTGACACTAAATTCTGCAACACCAACATGTTTCAAGAAGTGCAAGTCCTTCTGTTTTGGATGCTAACGAGTAACTCTGCTGGATTGGAGGGGGAGAAGTTCCTCTGACATCCAACAGGCACTTTATCAAAGTTCATGTAATGTAGATTTTGTTTAATTCTTTCCTAAATGAAAGCTTACTGGTGGTCAAATCCAAGACTATTTTCCCTTCCCAAGCTGTAAATTGTGTTGAACTCAAACTGTCTTTTCCTGAAGAGCATGGTAAGGTGTTTTTGAGTCATAGGTTTAGACTGACCTTGATCTGAACTTCTTCAGATATGCGGGCCACAACTTCTAAAAGAGTTGGGATTTGGTAACTCTCCTTCAGTGGAAACTGCGAATTGCAAATGTGTCTGAGCTGGGTTCTGCAGATTAAAATCACAGTTTGTACCGTGGTTATGAAACATTTAATGCATTTAAGTGATTTAGATCCTTGTAGAACTTTACACCATTACATGAAACTACTTGCTATTGCAGTTGTCACAGTCAATATCAGGTCTCTGTGTAGCTTTGACAGTAAATACTTTGCTTTAGCTGGAGTCTCAAAATACATTTAGTTGAAAATGGAGGAAGATGGAGGAATGCTCTTGACACTGCATGAAGAGGTGTGTGATTTCATACTCTGGTGAAAAGAGCAGCTTTTCTGATTTTTCTCCCCTCCATGCCATCAAAAGCCTTGGCAAGAAGGCTGTATATAGGAACAGGGCATAGATAAGATCACACTGTCTATAAGAACAAAGAGCGCTGCGGGAGCAGCCAGGAGGTTCAAGGCTTGGTTAGGGATGATTGTTGCAAGCTGGCAAGTTCTTTGTTAAACATTGACTACTTCTCCCGTATCTGGTTGTTAAAGAGCTGTGATTCTGTGCCAAACTTGTTGGTTCCAAGATTTTCCTAGAAGTAGTTTTATGTCTACTTGTTCTAATTTCTAGGCACTGACTGTTCAGCTTTATATTAAAAAAACTGAGATGTGAATATCAATTTGAGTAGGAAGAAAGGTAACTTCCACTATTGTGGAAGTTAGCATGGTGATCATTACTCTGAAACAGTGAAGTTACATCTATTAATATTTATTTACTATTTGTGTCTGAAACTTATTTAAAATGTCTTTGGCATGACAGGTGTTGAACTGAGTATATGCTGAATGCTGGTGAGGTGAGGATGCAAACTGCCATATGTCCAGAGCAAGGAATGCTGCTCCTTCCTCTTCCCTTCCAGTGTGAGTGACCTGCAATTTTAGAGGTGTCGGAATACTTAGGAAACAACATCTGCTGCTGTGAGTACAAAGAAATGCAGTGGTTATTTCTGCAATCTTGGCAAAAATTTAAATTCATATTTGCCTCTACCTTAAGACTCCCATAATCCATACTCTAACAGATTTGTAGTCTTGCCCTCATCCCTTTCTTTCCCTTTCCCTCAACCCAATTTGAGTCAAGTAAACCAGTGTCAAAGCCCAGTACAGAACTGGATGGATGTTCAAGACTCCTGTGTAAAACAGCCTAAAGCACTAAGTCCTTTGAGAGCTCATCTCTGACTGCAAATTTGAAAGCCAAGTGAACAGCAGTTGGTGCAGTGTATATAACAAATGGATTTGAAGCACATAAATTATTAGGATTTGTACTTCAAGAGTGCTGTTAAAGGCAATTGCTGTTTCCCAAACCTCTCTCAGCCACTTGATCTGCAGTCTTATTGGAAAGAAATCTGAGCTACTAACACTGGTGACTGCTAGGACTATGTTAATCGTGCTTAATTATGAGAAACTGGGACAGCAATTAATCTCTGGATGCTGTGCTTGACTCCTGAGGCAGCTCTCGCTCAGAGTGACTCAAGGCACCCGACGTGGCAGGCATCTCCCTGGGTCCCATACACGTGTCACTATTCGTAGGGCAGTGGCGAGGGGCACAGCGTGGGAGCAAGTTCTAGGTTTATAATCCTTGATCTTTCCTTCACTGCTGTGAGTTGAGATATATCTTGAAGCTTTCTACTCCTTGGAACAGGGTTAATGAATACCTGAATTGGCTTGTTGTTTGGTCTTCAGTTGGTTTCTGGAAACTGTTCCACCCATTTAAAATAGTGGATGCTTCTGTAAAATCAACATGACAATTCTGGAGCAAAAGGGTATGTGGATCCTTCTTAACAGATATAAATCTGGCTTAAGATAAATTTGTCTTAAGTTGATTAGGAACAGATTAGAGCTGAAGCAGAAAAAGGCACGCCTTTTAAACTCCACAGAGACAGCCTGCGTTCCAATTTAACTAAATGCTTTTAAAAGCTATTGGATTTTGGCCTCTCACCTCCACAGAAAAGTGTCGTCAGTCTCCTGCTCCTTGGACCTTCAGGCCAAGATCTTTCCTGCCTTCAATTTCTCACGAGTCTGTAGTTGCCCTCCAACGAGCCGGCTGCTGCTGGTCATACAAGGGCCTAGCAGGAGCCGACGTATTTTTTTTACATGTGTCTGTGGTGTTGTAGAGGTCTTACAAGCAGAGTTGTGAAGTGCCTTAAACCCCTACTTGGCCTTTTCTTAAGCAAGTCTTCAGGACAGCTCAGCGGGCTTGGGTTTGATGTTTGCTTTGAAGTTCTAATGGACGCGTTTCAAACCACTCAGATTTCTGATGTTTCTTGACTTGGCCAATTTTATTTCGTTTTACTGCTGGATCAGGTTTTCTGTGTTCTCTTGACCTGTCTGCTGCCTCTGAAATGCTGGGGACAAACCAAGGAGAAGCCCTGCTCAGAGCTGGTGTTTGCTGGAACAGACGTGAGGTGGTCACAGTGCACAAGGAAAGGAGTTACTCTTTAAGCCAACCTACAGACCACAGGCACATTGACAGAAGCATGTCTTTCCGGCAAGTTTTTGTTCTGCACCATTTAAGAAAGAAAAAGTTCAAGAACGGGTTTGCACATGACAGCGGAGCCAGCAGCAGCAGCCCTGCCTATGCGAGGTTTTGGCTCAGGTGCGGTGGCTGGCTGCAGTCCTGAGCTGGGCTAGCAGCAGGGCTAAAAAGTGCAAGGGGAGCTCTGGCCGGGAAGGGAGTAAACAAGTGCCCCACCTTGCCCCTCAAAAGCGCAGCGACTGCCCCGATGAGCTCGGCAGCCCCAGGGGCTCCGGCGTGGCTGTTCCCGGAGCTCTCCTGCCCCCTGGCTGCCTCACTGCTACGGCCTCCCTTGGCCATGTCTAAAATGGGGTATTGGGATTAAATAGAGTCCAACCAGTAAAACCAACGTTGCTATTTTATAGTAGCTTCAAAGAATAATGGATAGAATCAGTACCTTGGCTCTGTTTGCTGCTAAAAGCTGAGTACGTTAAATTGGAACTGAGTAAATGGCTTAAGGCCGCTGAAAGGTTTTGCGTTCTAATTGTTCTGCAAATTTTCATATGATGTCTTGGGGCATATATCTTGGAACATATTCTTGTAAGACAAAGCAGAATAATTTCCCTCCGTAGTTTTTTTTTTCTTTCTTATTGCTGAATTAACGGGAGGTTGCTAAGGGAAGGTGTACTGCTGATGAAAACGTCTCTTTCGGCTACAGCCCTTCTAGATTCCTATCACCTAGTTTAGGCCTGAAAAGATTTGTCATTGGTGCGTATTGGGCAGCAGCAGCCTCCTGAAACATGAGCAGCAGGCTGGGGCTGTGCTCTGCACCCCGAGCCTCCCGAGGCGCCTGCCCTGGGGCTGCAGCTGCGGCTCCGATCCCAGCTGCCCTCCCGCTGCCGTGGAGGTCAGTGCACGGCTGCGAACGTGGGAGGGTGACAAGCGAATTACATTGCCTGCTTGGTGCAGTGCTGCACGCAGACATCGCAGGAAGAGGTTGGGGATGCAAATACAGCAACACTGTTAGATCATTAACCTGTGAACAGCGTCAGATTATTACCAAGTGCCTGTGTGTAAAGCAGTAGGAGAGCTAATGCTCCTCCTGCGCTGTCCGTAATGAACAGAGATTGCCAGTTCGTCCTATTAATTGCATTCGAGTGTGATGGACTGTTAAACGCTCGGGAGTGTGCTGGTGTTTC